CCTCCACCGGAAAGGACCACCCTCGTTGGCTGCGTGACACCAGCCAGAAGGATGCTTCTCAGGACTGAGCGAGCCAAAGCTCTGGTGTCCTCCTGCCACGGATGAGTGAGGGTTTCAGAGCCGAGTCTGCCCATGATTGTCTCCAACAACTGAGCCCCCCATGCAGGGCGGCGGTGCCTGCCTTGCTGCCTTGGGACCAGCAATTCATCCCGGCGGGGTTATTCCTCAGCACAGCGAATCTTCATGAGACACTCTGAGCAGGGGTACAGATGAATGGCAGGCGGATAAAAGCTTTGTTTATTAAAATAATATTTTTTTTTCTTTGTGAGGCAGAAAACCTACAAGGCTGTATGTGATGGGACACAGGTAACCAAGTCCTAGGGCTGCACCCGATCACACGTATCAGTAACACTGATGAAATATGCTGAATATTTTCCTTTGTGGCTCTTGGGGCTCAGGGGTGAAGCGGTCTCCGCTCCACAGCCCCGTCAGATGCCGCATCCAGGTCGTGCTCCTCCGGGTCCCGGGTGAGGTCTACAAACACCTGCAACACGCCGTAGCAGAAACAACCCCGTTATTGCCAAGGACTGACAGTATTTACGCAGGTCACAGGCTATTTCTTGTTTTTATACAGGCATCTTCTAACCTGTAACTACTACATCAACATACCTGTTGCAAAGTGTGCAATGACAAGCTGTACTCCTCAAGCCTGAAATTCTGTTTAGCTGCGGAAGGATGGAAAAGGCATCCTTAAAAAATGAATCCATATAAATAATTTGAAAGCAATCTTCATACTTAATTGATTGTTTCCTTTTACCTGCTTCTAGCTTGGAGAAAGACTGGGACAGAGGTAGTGCATCTTCCATTGGTATTTTGTAGATAACCAAAGAAGTAGTCCTAAAAATGTAATAAAAAAATGAATTCATCATTTCGTGACTCAGCACCAAGGTTTAGGGGGTGCTGGTAGGGTTACTGTATTCCCAGGTAAATTATTGAGCAAGGTCAGTAGGAGCAACAGAGCGTCCCAGCACAAGCCCGGGCTGGGTGTGCAGCCCACGGGGTAATGACCTTTCTTGCCGAGCCGCGTGCGGGAAGAGGCGCAGAATTTCGGCGTGGAGAGCATCGCTTTGCCCAGTGTCCATCATTTTGACTTCTAGGTGGTAACTCATGCCAAACTTACTTTTCAGATCCTCAAGGGAACCGATGTACCTGCAGAGGAGGGAAAACAGTGCTCAAATCATCATAAGCAGCAAATAAAGCAATCATTGGATACGAGCAGCAGATGTACGTCCTCTTATTCATCATCTGTTTATACCGTGCTGCTGAAACCACCTCCCTCCTCATGAAACTATGTTTGTTACCCACTTGGGACAAACCAAACCCACATTTTCTATTAGATTAAGAAGAAAAAACCAAACCAAACAAAAACCCCAGACTAAAAAATCAGGTGGCATCCCGGTGAGCGATGCAACCCTGGTGCCCACCGTAGCTGCCCCGACACCAGGATGGCCACCCGGTCGCACATCGCCGCTGCCTCCTCCAGGTACTGCGTGCTGAGGACGGCTGCCCGCTCCTTGCCTTTCATGGCAGTCTGAATCACTTTCCTGGGAACAGAGGGATGGCAGTTACTTCCCAGGAATAGCCAAAGAAAATCTCCTGGTTTATGTCTCCCTCCCAAAAAACAACTGAAATGATAAAATTATAAGAAAAAATGGATGACTATTTAAAAGACTGCAGTTATCTTGCGCAAAGATGACATGTGGATGCCAATGCTATGTTGCAATTTGTCATGTCAGCATCCTTCCAGATTTTACACTTTCAGTGTAAACTGTTGATGAAAAGCTAGAGCAAGCACTAGGGCTGAGTGATGAAAAGGAAGAACTACCTATGCTTTTTTCCTCATGCTCTGAGGAAAACAGGAATTTGTGTCTTTTGTACCAAATGCATGGGTTCAGCTGGAGTCTGCACAGATTTTTTAGGTGCACTACCATCAAGATTAAATCTGATGGTTAGCAAGGACTTACTGCCTGCTGAGTAAGGAGTTTAGCGAGTGGCACCCAACCCCCTGTGCATTAGGAAAAAGGGAAAATACAGATGTACTCTGCCACCGAGGCAGAACCTCTTTGCTCGCCCAACGGTTACTACAATTGTGAGGGCAAGAGCCACCCTGTTAGGTCTGTTATACACTTCTCAGTTCTGCCAAAACGGGGCTGCTCACCACATACGGCGCTGCCCTTTCAGGTCCATGCCCAGTGACGGCTCATCCCAAAGCATCACCCTCGGATCTCCCAGGACGCTCAGCGCAAAACACAGCTGAAAGGGGAAAGGCACCGAGGTCAGGTCAGGTTTGCTTTTACTTTACCTGTAAAACTGGTGAGTTGTCCTGCTACATCTTAATGCCTGTGAGTCTTTTAGAAGCTGAAGCTCTTGATTACAAAAAGCAGGAGGAACAGGGATTCCAAAACAAAAAAACCCAAACACCTCAGGTGTTCTTAGTTAACATTTTAATCTCCCAAAGTCAGCTTTCCCCAAAACTCCCAAGCCTGCCAAAGTTCTGAAAGTGGTTTTCCATCCCATTTACTGGCAGATGCACGCGATGGGGCATAAAGAGTTGATTACCCTGTAAATCCAATTTGTGGTTAGCATTTATTAAACACGCAGCGGGAGAGTGGGGAAAGAGGAGAGGGGGGAACCTGCCAGGCTGGATTAAAAAGCTATTGATGAAAACAAATCATGCCAGGAACCCACTCTGCTGTACGTGCTTCCATGTTCAAAACCGTAATGATTTTTCATAAGCACACTGAATTTCCAGAAATTTTTGTTCAACTAAGATTTTAAGCTTCACTCCAAGAAGGAAATTTCTACTTTGTGAAACAAACAAAAAAAAACTTTCACAACATCAAGGACTATATTCTGCTTTCACTGACACCAGGACAAGGAACCCAAGGCACCCATGAGCTTGAATGAAGTTTTTCTGCACACCGAGTTCAAGAAGAGCGAGCAGGATTTGCTCAAGTAGCAAACACGTACCTTTCTGGCTTCTCCAGCAGACAACCTCCTAGCTGGGGTTTTTAAATGCTTCTGGAGGTCCAAGGCCTTTGCCATGCTGTGGGGAATGGAAAGGAAAAATACTGAAATGGCCGTGTCTGCTAACACCATGGTCGGGGGTACTGAGGAACTAGAGAGTAACATACTTTTTTTGGCTGATATGCATCACCTTGGGTTACTTAGTCATTTTGTTCCTAACTCAGATGGTAAATTAAGGAATTTTTGCAGAAACTCAAGACAGTTAAGTCCAGCTAATGAGAGAAGCGAGTTACTAATGTAACTGACCATGAACTGGAGCAAGTTTGAATGTTTTCTGAAGTCTTCTAGATAAACCAGGATGAAAATCTTCATAGACAAGGGATTGAGAACAGTATAAAGTAGCAGATCTCATCAGAAGGAGATCCTGTTTCTCCAAGGTAAAGTTGCACTGAAGGTGCAGCCTTTTATTCGCGGGTTTGTCAGCAGAAAAACCTTTCCCTGCCCTATACCTCTGGAGAGAGGAAGAACCGAAAGCTTAAAATCATTTGGCTTTGTACCGGTTGATGATAACAGCCGCATCTTCTTTCCTCATCCCCCTCACGGCAGCGTACACCTCCAGATGCTGGTGCAGCGTGAGGTCCGGCCAGAGCGGGTCCTGCTGCGGGCAGCAGCCCAGGCTGCGCTGCCCTGGGGAGGAGGCAGCTGCATCGCGGCCCGTGAGCAGCACCTGCACAAACACACAAGCCTCCCTAGTTGTAGTGTGTTGTTCTGGGGTGAATCAATGAACCCCTTGGAAACGCGGTAATGTCTTGTGAGGAACCTCATTAGCACATGGGAGAGGAAGTCCAGCGTCATTGGAGTGATCACCTCCATCTACCGTGGCTTCTGCTCACCTGAATCCGGGACAGCTTTTTCACAAAACCAAACAGTATTTACTACCATAAAACTTTGGGTAACAGTACCAACATGAGACTATCTTTCTTTTTCTAGCAATACTTTTCTATTTCAAACACTCAGTCCCAAATCTGTAACAGCAATGGTATTTCCCCTCCCCCAGCACATGTCATTAATCATCCTGCACATAATTAAGTGATGTATTGTTACTAGCCCAACCCTGTTCACATTCGTTTTCAATTTCCTGGTTTTGCAAGGCTGTTTATGATTTTGGGGTTTTTTTTTTAAGATGTTAACATTTCTTACAAGGCTTGTGAAATTTCACAATGGGTTTCAAATGCACACTGAAGATTTTGTGTAGCTCAAACCCTTAAATCTGTAACAGTGATTTTGATGAAAACTAGAATGCGCTTTGTGTAAATCAACACTTTCTTCTTACTTCTGTAAATATCCAGGGTTACACGTACATAAATTCCCTGTCTTAAGGGCTGCATTGCCAGCTTGCCTTATCACATCCTTCATTTATAAAGGCATCAAGATCAACGCCCAAACGCTCCAAAGGAATCACCTACCTCCCCGGCAGTCACCGTTATGTCTCCAGAAATCATGTTTATAGTTGTACTTTTTCCAGCTCCGTTGGGTCCTAACAGACCTAATACTTCCCCTGGAAAAAAATATGCAGGAACTGTTAATAATAATTATTGTTAATAAGACCTTCTTCGCTGTGTGTTAGGCAATATCTGAAAGTATTGTTCATTAACTTATCCCACTAAATTAAAGCCATGAACACAGGAGCGCAGGTGTGTTGGGTCTGGTTGCACACAAGAAAGTTCTGACAAAAATATGGTCTCCAAATGCGACCTTCACATTAGATTTTAGTCATTTATAGGGGGTGCAGCAAAATACTTGAACCTTTTTTAACATTAAAAGAGAGGTTTTTGACAGCAACTTTCTTCTTTTTCTTAAAGATGGAACTGGCTTTCTTGTCTTCATATTCCTTGCGCAAACTGTTGACAATGATAACCGATTCCTGTGAAGAGATGAAGTGGGAAATAAAAACTCTCCTCTTGTCCCATGAGACAGCTCATCTGTTCTTACGGTTAAGTATGACTCTTTACAGAGAAAATTTCTAAATTAAAAATCCAGAAAACAGAGCAACAGGAAAAAAAAAAAAAGGAAAAAAAAGCAGAACTGAAATAAAAATTTAGTGCCAGCTAAACTCCCTCTGCTGCCAGGGGGACTGGGCTGGATGGTGAGATGTGCACTTGGACATCGGGAGATCAGTAAAAAATAAGTGCATGAGCTAAGAAAGCAGAGACAGACCCAAAGATGGAGAATGGAAAAGAAAACAAGCCAGAAGGCTGGTTTCACCTCCTCCTGCTGCAGGGAGACCATCGTGGTCCTCACCCTCTCCCTCTCTGCCTGGACTTCTGGGGACTCCTCCCCAGGGAGGTCCCTGTTCTGGCGGGCGACTGCTCTCCTCTGCTGGATCCTACGAGCGGAGGAGGAGAGATGGTGTCACCAGGGATCGCTTCCAAAAAGGCTTGGTTTTACAAGTTTGTTCCCAGGGCAGCGCCAATGCAGCGCCCCACAAAATTTATTTGAATTCAGGGAGCTGTTCCACAGGCAGTGTTTGCTCAAATACTTATTCATGGGGGAAAAAAAAAAACCACTGGCATGCATGAGAAAAAGGTCAGCTTTAGCTTTTCTTTCATCACTAAGTATTGACTGGTCCCCTGCTCGACACATGCCAATGATCTCTTCAAGGAGAATTAAAAGACACGGGGCAGGTTTTCAATGCTATTTGGGCATCTAACTCCTAGCTGAGTCACATTTGTTAATGTTTGACGACTTAGTATTTTTTGCAAATCTTCTCCCACATGACTCAGGTGGTCTGTCGTGTGCTGTTGGTAACAGATAAGCAGAGAGCAGGTAGCAGATGACCCCATCCTGACGAAGCTTTAGGGTAAGTCTGCATCCTTCAGAGAGCAATGCTGACACATTTGAAAAGGAGTTAAAACGTTGGATTTAAATTTGTAACTATTAATTTAGCCAGCTGTAGCAAAGTGTCCTGAAACCTCAGCTATGAAGCTCAATAAAAAAAAAAAGCTTAAATCACATTTTTTTATTCTCTCTAGGACATTGTAGTTCAACTGACCTCCTATTGCAACACACTGGGTGGGAATTTGCCTCCAGACACATTCAGAGAAACTCCAGTAAAGTCGGAAACTATAATGACCCAAAGGAATAAAAAAAAAAATCCCTCCCTTCGTTCTCTATTTCCTCCCCTCCAGATAAACTAGTTAAAACTAAAAATATGAGCCACACTTTGCAAAATGTTTTTAAGTTCTCTCCTGCTGTTAGGGGTCAGCAGGAGGGTCCTGCCTGACCGTGCGGCACCGAGCCTGCCCTGCAGACCGGGATAACGGTGGCTCGCAAGGCACCCCGGCACCCGGCTGCCAAGGACACACCTGAAGACGGGATCAAGTCTTGTAACTGCTTCTCCATATCTCATCTCCAAACAGCGCAGGAGAAAAGCAAAAATCACACAATGGATGTAAGGCTAAAAAGCAATAATGAATTAGGTTTGTATGGAGACAAGGTAACAACACATTTGATTAATTTTAATTATAAGGGGATGCAGGGACCTATCTCATTTACTTCAGCTATTGAAAAGGTCCAAAAGGGGAAGCTGTTAAACTGATGCTTCGCATACATTTCCATCTCATATGCTGATCATTTGTAAAAGCCTTGACTTCATACTGCAGTTTTAGCTCAGATAATCTGCACCCCAGCAGACATCCTACAGGATCAGAGATCACATCTTTCTTTTGTAGAAGCAGCATTGGACTGATTAGTTAGTTAATAATATCTCTGCCTTGTACATGAGCTCCACTTAATCCCCCCACCATTTTCCCACATATGGTACAGCATCCAGGGGTCACATGAGACACAAGCCTGTGATTACTTGGATGTACCTCCCCTGCCAACATTTAATGTGAAACTTTGACCACATAACCCATGCTTTCTTTATGGGGAGAGTTATACAAGCCCAGTGCAAGTCCATCACATTAGAAGAGTCATCCTTTCCAAAACAATTGTCATCAAATTGCTCCTTACTGCAAAGACAGCTATGAAGATGTGATTCCATGATTCAGGAAGATAAATATTGTAAAACCATGTGAAATGCTACAAGAAAAAAAAAAAAAATCAGTCAATTAGAAAAATTCCTTAGCACGTTGTGCCTCCGTGCAGGGTTGGGGCAAGTGTGGGATGTAGGGATGCTTAGCTTTTCTACGCGATGGGATTAAGGAGCTTTGATCTACACTTATTTTTTTGGGTTCATACTGCCTCAAAGAGCTGCAGCTTCCTTGGCTACAGCTAATTCAGAGGTGCCTCAAATCAGCCAGGTTAGACTGACCTTTTCCATCGTTGCTTCTCTCTTCCCAGTCCTTTTAAATACCTCCAGGAATGGTGACTCAACCACTTTCCTGGGCAGCCTGTTCCAATGCTTGACAACCCTTGTGGTGAACACATTTTTCCTAACATCCAATTTAAACTTCCCCTGCCACAACTTGAGGGCATTTCCTCTCGTCCCATCACTTGTTACTTGGGAGAAGAGACCAACCCCCACCTCGCTACAACCTCCTTCCAGGTAGTTGTAGAGCGCGATGAGGTCTCCCCTCAGCCTCCTCTTCTCCAGGCTAAACAGCCCCAGTTCCCTCAGCCGCTCCTCATCAGACTTGTGCTCCAGGCCCTTCACCAGCTTCGTTGCCCTTCTCTGGACACGCTACGGCATCTTGGTCCCTTCTCTCACTCCCCAGTCTGGAGCTTTTCTTCTCCTGTTGTCTTTTCTCATTCTTTGCCTTTTTGACAGTTGGCTCTTTGAGACAGGGAATTTGGAAAGCGCCTCTTGTTTTTCCAGTTTGCACCATTAGGACCATTATTGAATTTAGTAGGACATGTTTACTTACTGGTCTAGAGATGATCAACCAGCCCAGCAGTGGAAACACAGGAATCAAAGTAGTGAAGGTTAAGTAAAGTGCTTCGTGTAGGTCACTGAGCCTATAGAGAGTGACATTCACCTGGAATAAAGCAGAAAAAGTATTTTCAATATTAATGTATTGTTGCTAAAAAATAAGCTATTTGTCACTGATTGGGTTATTTTGCTGAATATCAGTATATTTGAAGCGAAACCTCAGGTGGCAAGATATGTAAATCAAACACTTCAGAGTGAAGACTCACTTCACTTACCATAATGAAGATGAAAGACCAAATGTAACGATTGCTTCGTCCCGTGCGAAATTTAAAGGCAATTAAATAGACGAGGAGGACAAGAGATACTCCATAACCAATGACGCAAATGATCTGGAGAGAGAGACATGTCAGTGACTAGGAGATGGATGTGGGTATATGAACACCTGCCAGGAGCAGCCTGTTTCTATTAAAATGTTTAATGCAAAAACTCACTGCGAAATGAGGGAGGGGGATTTATGTCTGCCCGTTTTCCCGCATGCAAAGAGCTCACCAGGGACAGCACAGTGCTGGCCTGCAAGGGGCAGATGCGGTTGAAGAGTAGCACGACCCCGAACATGAGGCACACCAGGGTCCAGAAAAGCGGGACGTCCACCAGCGCCTGCCCGCACCAGTATGCCGAGGGGAAGAGCCCTGCGAGCCGCAGCTGGGCACGAGCCTGGAGCTGCGAAAGCAAATGGGAAAAAGGAGGTGATTCAGCAGAGCCCAAAACATCATTCTTGCCCCTTCTCCTTCTCCATTACGCTCGCTCCTCTCTTCCCTGGCTGAGCCTTCCTGTCCCTTCCAAGCACTTTCATAGAATCATAGAATCATTAAG